GCAATCAGGCCAACTTGTGACACAGTTACCCAGTACATCTTGCTCCCCCAAGCGAATGACAACTTCTGCATTGTTAAGCACATCTACATCGTGAACGAGCCACGCAGGATATGAGATTTCTTGGGGCAACAACAACAAGAAACTCGTGAGAAAGGCTTTCTTAGGCATGGTTCTTGGTTGCAATCCGGAAGAGCGAAGTCTGGAAGACAGAGCGTGGCAGACAGGCGCAGAGAGGAGATCCAACAGCGAGCGCATAGCGTTCCCTTGGTCAAGAGAGAGCCATCTGAGTGACTCAGTCTGATTGTAGTTACCTTTGTGTCTGTCTTTTTCATCTGAGCTTTTCGTATAGGACCTAACAAAACAATGTGTCGAGGTTACTTGGTGCGCAACTAAGGTTTCGCGAGGGACACGCGTGGCTTGCCGACGCAACAAAGAACGATCCTGTGGACGCTTCCCATGACCCTGCATCTGACGACAGAGCCCGTGGAGCCGAAACCCTTTTCTGGTCTGCGTGCGTCCAGGTCAGACATCATTGAGCTTGTCTTGCTACTTGAAAGGATGAAGACGCGGACATCATGCCAGAGATTGGCAGCCGTTTCAAGTGAAGATCACCACCTAGGCGGCCCTGGCGTTCAGCAAGGACAGAAGGATGTTTGTCTCATCGTGGCTGTGCAGGGTGTCTGCCAGTGGCCTGTGAGTGTGATGGACCTCTTTTGGTTTCCTATGGCAATTCCCTGATCCTCATCCAGCTCTGTGTAGAGCAGTGGCGCAACAGCTTGCCAGAAGCCAGCTATGTTGCGTTCGACCAGTCCGCCAAGCATTTCTTCGCAATCTAGGTGCGTGAAGGGCGCGTCCTCAAGAAAGATGTCGGGGAGGTTTCTACTTTGAGGGCACGCGATGTCATGGACATGTTGGGCGACAACAACTTCATGTTCTACTACCTGTGCAAGAAGGACGAAGAGGAAGTCTTGAAAGTTGATGCTGCGGGTGGGTCTAGTGCGTGCAAGAAGCCTGCGATGATGGACAACCGGCCAGTGTACTCTTGTCCCCTCGAGAAGTGCGTTTGTGAAGGTTGCCCCGGTTCCCTGATCTACCACATCTCCGTGGACGCCACTTGCTATGACTTGGGCGGGCCCAGGCAAATTGCGCACCAACAGAAAAATTGCACATCTAGGAAATGTTGATCTTTTTTGGCTACAACTACAAGTGGGCGGACCAACAGAAAGTCAATTCGCTCGGAGTTGAAGACCTTCAGGACGGAGTTCTCTTCGCGAATTCCAAGAAAGCTCACACACTGAAGTATCTCCAGTATCATGAAGAACTCCTTTTCAGAGGACACCTGTCCAGCGCAGCCATCGCCCACGCCTACGCTGAGGCATATTGCCACTCCTCAGTGTTCCCTCCCACGCAGCGCAACAACCATCCATCTTTGGCTACAGCCACAGAACGTTTGTGACTGCCGGGGTGGCGACTTCATTGCTTTCTGGCTCGCGCATGACCTGCAACGTCAAGATCCTTCCCGACTTGGGGTCGCATCCGAGCATCCATCCGTTGGCATACTTGCCGGACACCGTCGAGCACCATCGTCTTGACCTTGGCATCGTGTGTGACAGAGCGTGTTCTTTGGAGCCGTCTGCTTCTTCCAATGAGGAGCTCGACCTCCTTCTACATCGTGGACCGGTTCCATGCTCGAGGGCGCTCAAAAAATGCAAATGCAACCCATGCAACTTGTCGTGGTTTGGTTATTCCTTTAATGTGTTTTTATTGACACAAAACCAGGACGATGTTTGTGTATGTTTGCGTGTCACATGTGTCTGAACACACTAAGGTTAAGATTGCCGGACCAGGCAGACACTGAAACACATGTGTTGAATTAAATTAATGAAATATGGTGAAATAGTTTGTGAATCAAAATAGTGAATGAAATTTTTAGTGAATCAAAATTGTGAATTGGGAAACATGGATTTGCAGATTCGCAAGCCCAATTTAGTGAATTTTAGTGATTTTTAGTAACATTTAGTGAACTTTCGCGAAATTTATGAAATTCAATGAAATATAGAACGCGATTCACTAAATTTCACTAAATTGGATTTGCGAAATTGAGTGAATTTAGTGAAATTTAGTGAAATTTAGTGAATCTCTTTCTAAAATTTCATTGAATTTAATTAGTGTCGCTAAATTTCGCTAAATTTTACTAAATTTCACAAATTTCATTGAATTTAATTAGTTTCACTAAATTTCAGTAAATTTCACTAAATTTCAGCAAATTTCGCTAATTTTCACTAAATTGGATTTGCGAAATTTGGTGAAATTTAGTGAAATTTAATGAATCTCTTTCTAAATTTCATTGAATTTAATTAGTTTCGCTAAATTTCACTAAATTTCACTAAATTAGTGTCGCTAAATTTCGCTAAATTTTACTAAATTTCACAAATTTCATTGAATTTAATTAGTTTCACTAAATTTCAGTAAATTTCACTAAATTTCAGCAAATTTCGCTAATTTTCACTAAATTGGATTTGCGAAATTTGGTGAAATTTAGTGAAATTTAATGAATCTCTTTCTAAATTTCATTGAATTTAATTAGTTTCGCTAAATTTCACTAAATTTCACTAAATTTCATTAAATTTCACTAGATTTTATTAATTTTCACTAAACTGCATTTGCGAAATTTAGTGAAATTTTGGGAACTTTAGTGAAATTTAGTGAAATTCAATGAAATGTAATTTGCGTTATTTTTTTTGCTTTTTCCTAGTCACCTCGCCATGTAGGCGTATGTCCATTCACTATTCCCATTCACTATTCCCATTTACCATTTCCATTCGCAATTGTTTTAATTCACTATTCCCATTCACTATTTCATTTGCTAATATTCACTAAATAATTATTTTGATATTTCCAATCTCTACTTCCCAGCGGCAATCTTAACAGTAAGGGCACAAGAAACAGCTTGACGCACGACTCGGCAAGGAGAACACCAACATATGCGAACAAGTCTTTTCATGGGTCCGGAATTTAGCACGCATCATCAACGAGATGAGGGCGAACCGTCACAAGTTCTTCTTGCTATGTCTCGCAAAACGCCGCAACCACAACATCGACCAGAGCACGGTTAAGTACTTGCGCCCAATCCAGGCAAAGAACAAAAGGCTCGACGAAGGTCAAGAAGTGAGGGATTCTGGTAGAGAATAGTGTTGTAGCAGCATCTGGGCATCATGTCTCTGGGCAATCTAACAACAGTGACCATACTTTTGTTAAGGTGTTCACTTCCCACATTTGTGAATAGTTTTTGTTTGTTGCGTAAGTCCTGAGACACGCTTCAACCCCAGTCATCATATGGAGCAAGAAAACCATGCAAATGTGAAAGAAGCGCACGCTCACAGTGACGAGCTCTCTTTTTTCGGGGTAACTTGACCCGGCGGGAGAGATGTAATCTTACAATTCTAAGTGCCAAACCCCAGAAAATGCAAATTACATTTTAAGACACCCCCCCCGTAACGGGGTGGGGTTTAAGAAAGAATGTTGTTTTGCGAACGCGGCCCTTGCCCTCTGTTTGGAGGCGTCCGCGCGTGACTCGCCGCAACAATTCCGGACTTTTTCTGCAAACACTTGTGCGTCTTCAGCCGTGGCCAACCAGGGCGCGCCAGAAGTCGGCCAGCGGCCTAAAAACCGCCTGCAGGGCCGCTGGCCAACGTTTGGCCGCGATGACGCAAGACTTTGGCCGATGCTGGCCGGCGTTTGAACGATGTTTCGCCTATAGCAAGGGTGATTTTTGTTTTGTTGCTCCTCTTCGCCGCTGCGCGCGTGACTGCGCCTTGCCGACGTGTGAGCGCCGTCTCTCGGATGTCATGTCCATGTGGAAGGCCGCAGCGGCTGAATGCTGCTGCTGGTGCTGGGTAATTTGCCAGCGCTGAGAACACGCTTTTGTTTTCAGGGTTTCTGCGTCTAAGGTGGGCCTCTGATAATTCAAAAGCTTCTTTTGTGTTTGGAATGCAGCTTTCAGGAAAAAAAGGGGGAGTAGCCCCCAAGCCCCACGCAAGTAACTTTTAAGTCCCGCGACGAACACATAACCAGCCTAAATGCAACGTAGAAACGTGGCGTGACCTATTGTATGCGTGTCGCGTCATGTCATTTCATGTTCCGTCATGTATGTGTGTATGTATGTATGTATGTGCGTACGTATGTGAGCATGCGTGTGTATGTACATATGTCTGAATAGTTGTACGCATGCATGTGTGTATGTGTATATGTATGTGTGTGTGTATGTATGTATGTATGCAATAGTTATAGTCATAGTGTGTGTGAGAGAGATCCATGTAGCGCTTGCATGTATGGTGGCACGCAGCATGCATCTCTGTACGCATGTATGCCTGCAAGTATGAACTGTAGTTTAACGGAATGTAACGTGGTGTAAGGCAAGGGAATGTATGTACTGTGTCTGTATGCACGCATGCGTGTCAGTTGTGTAACGCGTGCGCTGTACACACTGCACGCAACGCTGTAATGTATGCGCTGTATGTATGTAGAAAACTTGCTGAATGAGGCTACTATATGTACTGCGCGCAACGTATGTACTTGTGTGCGCGCAACGCATGTGATGATGTATTGTGTGTAGGAATGTGTGGACTATAATAGGATGGATGTAATGTAGCGCCGGACGCGGGACAGACAGCCCCCAAGTCGCGTACCAGCTGTTTCCCAGAAGTCTTTGCGCCGCCCAGCAGCCAGCTGCTGTTGCCTGAGATGCGGCTTGAACTCAAGCATCGCTTGTCACAAGTAGATGCAGTTCTCCTGTTGCTCACGGCGCCAACAAGTTGAGACCGGAAACCAATTCTTGGTTGCGTAAACCATGGTGTCTCCTTCATTTGTGGAAAGCTCGGCAAGACTTCCACGCTGTTGGGTTAATAGAGGGTTCCGACAGTGTGCTGGTTGCTTCTTCAGGGTGCGGTTTTGATGTGCACGCCCGTAAAACCGGAGAGTGGTCCCAGACATGTCGTGAGGTCGGAGTGAACGGCGTCACCTCCATTGGTCAGGCCATCGCCGCGTCTCGAAGCGGGAGTTTTTCCTTTCTTCGTGGTTTTCGGGTGTTATTCGTTTTCTCGATTGTCTGTAGTGATTTGGTAGTGATCCCCCAGTGCTCTTTTAGCGCTGTCCCGTGCGCTCCTGCGCTCCTGCGACGCTCCGCTGAGCTGCTGCTCCAGTGCTCGGCGCACTCTAGTGCGCATGTGCGCTACGCTGCTCGTCTGGCGCGGCGCTTCTCTAGCGTCTAGCGCTCGTCTAGCGCTCGTCCTTCGTTTTCACTGCACGTCTAAGTGGCTTCCTGAGCATTCTCACCGGAGGAGCACTCTGCAAAGCTGGTTTTGGAGCACAGCAATACATGATGTCTGGCGCTGCTTTTCTAGTGCTTCACATCGATGTTGAGGTTCTTTCCCTTTAAATACAAACTGGGGCACGCCGCGACTGAGAATGGTGGAGGAGAGATGGGGTCTGAAGGACCTCGACAAGCAGGAGGAGAAGATCGGAGGTGTTGGCTTCCTGCTGGAACAGCCGGCTGAGCCGAGTGATGAGCCGAAGAGGCCGAAGAAGATGCACAACCTGCGCGAGTCGCACTTCAGGCCCGGGGTGGAAAAGCGCCCAAGCCAACCAACGATGAATCTTCATCTTCTGGGAGGATGGCCTTCAGCAAGCCTAGATGCCGGACTTGGAGAAGTTGCAGACCTCAAGGCCTTGTCGCAGTGAGCGCCGGTGAGAGTGTGCCAAGGGTCAAGAAGTTATCCTGGGAGGCGCGCGTCAAACAGGGGCACTTGCCCTACCGGCGGGATTGTCTGGCGTGTCAACAGGCATCTGCTCGAGAGCTGCATCGTCGGCTGCAACATCCGGAAGGAATACATGTAGAGCCTTAGGCCCCACACCTGGGAGAACCAGAAGAAGACGGACCAGATGGAGGAGGACCAGGATGCAGAGGAAGAAGAGGAGGAGCCGTTGAAGTTGAAGGGCAAGCGGGAGGTGTTGGCGGCGATCCAGGACTCCGCTCATCAACCAGCTCCACTCGGACTGCAGGTTGTGGGACCGGTGATGGTCAGACTTGGGGCAGAGCCAGGGGCAAAGCCCCAGGATTTGGCCGGATGGAAGCTGCCCGGATTCAACAGACCTGCGGCTCTTGGGCATGAACATGAAGAAGGAGGGAGATGACGTCTTCGTCCGTCAGAAAGATTACGCGGAGGAGGTTTGATGAGATTGTGAGGGCCAGATCTCCAACTTCCAAGGAGATGTCGGACGAGGCATGGCGAAGGAAGATGTAGGCGGAGTTTGGTCAGGGACAAGCAGATGTTAGCGAGCCCAACGAGAACGGACCTTCGGCGTGAGTCGGCTCTGCACACGGCGCAAACGATGCCGCCAAGGCCTCAAGTCCAGCCGTGGCGCCGATAGCCACAGACACAACAGGGGCGCAGAGGAGAAGACATGTAAGGGCTTCGCGCCGAGTGGAGGATCCCAATGTTGGTTTGCATCATTGCGGTGGTGTCCATCGTTCTGTGTAGGCTGATGGCGGAGATCGGGGGTAGGATGGGGCTCGCGCGCTGGACTCCAAGAGAGGCCGCCCAGACTGAGGAGAGAGGTCGGGTATGACGACGGTGGCCACACCCCCACGCTCCGCGAGCAGGGCCCCGTCAAGGGCAAGTTCGGTGAGGAGGCGTCGTGGTGGAAGCAGCGAGGAAACGGTAATGGCAACGGAAGCCGAAAATTCAAGCGGATTGAGGAAGAAGACAAGCTTCTCAATCGGCGATGAACTGCTCCCAGACCAGAACCTGAGGCGCAGGAGGTGTACCGCATCACACAAGCAGATGGGTGACAAGCCCCACTGGAGGCAGAGTTGCAAGAGCTGGTCAAGGAGCTCAGACTTACAGTCCCTGCCGCTTCTGCCAGAGCATTATCGCGGTTGACGAGCAGATGTCGGCGGAAGGGAGATGGCCACGCGGTAGTTGCAGCTTGAGCTGATGTGAGGGGGGAATAGCAGAAAAAGCTGTGTGTTTGGAGTCTTTGCTCTGCACTCGCAGTGCAGACGGAGGAGTGCTGGAGCTTAGGATGACACGCGCAATTCACGAGCGCGCTGCAATTTGGAACGATACAGAGAAGATTTTCATGGCCGGTGAAGCCGTTTGTGCATCAAAAGCAGTTGAAGAAGGACTGCTTGAGCGGGCAGCTCCCACTAGAACAGTGTGCAGAGGAAGCTTTTGATTTCGTTGGAGGCTTGTTTTGGGTTGGTTTCGGTCTGGTTTAGGGTCTGGTTAAAGGTTGGTTTCAAGTTACCAAGCTTGTTGGGCTGGTTCCAGGCGGGTCTAGGGCTGGTGTTGGGTTGGTTTCAGGCTGCTTCAGGGCCGATTTGGTTTTGGTTTAGGACGGTTTTGGCTTGATCTTGAGGTGCTAGCTTAGATTTCAAGTTGGTTCAGGGTTGGTTTAAGGCTTGTGTGGGGTCGGCTTAGGGTTGTTGTAAGGCCGGTTCAGGGTTGGAGCTGGAGGAGTGCTAGGGAGCACTAGAGAGAGAGAGAGAGAGATGTCAAACTACAGTGAGTGCATGATACAGTTGCATGTGCGCTACACTGATAGTTATCACATACCGCAGGCCTTGAGCCTCAGCCCGACTACAGCTGGAGAAAACAAAGGCTGCAGCAGACTACATTTGTTTGTGTTAGAAACAACACTGCATTAGCACTTGTAGTAATTATAACTCCGATTTTGACGAATCACATGCCAAACTACGACATGTCAGGAGACGGTACAAGCTGCCACCGCCCTTCTTCACTGGTGACTACTCCCAGTATGAAGAATGGCTGTTCAAGCTACAAGCATACCTCGGACTCATAGACCGAGACTTCGACCTGGTGCTACAAGTAGCACAAGTAGCTACACGACAGATTGAGGATGCAGACGTTAGAACGCACATACTCGACCCTACACAAGCAAGCAAAGCAGTAGACCTCTCCAGATATCTACACTACATCCTTATCAAATTCTGTCAGGGAGCAGCAGCTACAGTAGTAAGGCAAAACCGCTACAACGCAAATGGATGTGAAACACTACGATTCTTGCGCAACAGGTTCAGCCTACCAGTAGGAACACGAAGCGTTGGCTACCTTACCAAGCTACTGGAACCTACATTCAATGAAGCGCAGTTTGAAGAGCAATTCCTACAATGGGAATACGACATCAACCGCTACGAGAAAGACAACGGCACAGCACTACCAGATGGAATAAAAATCGCAACACTACTCGACAAAACCAAAGGAGCGCTGCAACAACATCTCCAACTGCGAGCTGGAAGGATCACGAACCACAACGAGATCAGAGCAGTCATCCTGGACTACTACAAGACGATGTCAGCTTTCTCAAGGTCGACTTCTGAACCAATGGACGTTGACAACATTTGGAGGAAAGGAAGAAACTACAAAAGCAAAGGAACAGGCACAGGCCACTACAAAGGAAGCAAAGGCAAAGGCAAATACAGGAGCAAAGGACACTACAAGGGATTTGACAAAGGCAACAAAGGAAAACAACAAAGGAGGATACAACAAGAGCAAAGGAAAAGGCTACTCAGGATCCAAAGGCTTCGGATCAAGCAAGGGCTACAAAGGCCAAGGAACCTACAGCAAAGCAAAAGGAAAAGGAAGCAACAACTACATGACATGCCACCGATGTGGCAAGCCTGGCATTGGGCCCAGGACTGCAGAGTGCCTGTGTGGCACGTCGGAGAAGGAGAAGAACTACATCCACTAGACCAAGAACAAGCAGATCAAGACAACAATGAAGAACTACCTCAGGGTGTGAACGACACGTGGGGCTGGTACTACGAAGGAGAAGAAGGACAACACGAGATAAACTACATGGGGGAGAATGGGAACGCCTACGACTATGACAACAACTGGGATTGGAATGACAACAGCTACGAAGACACTGCAAACTATATTGGAGGCATCAATGAGTCACACCTTACCATTGGACACATCAGACAAGCAAAGTCACTACTACACAAGCGCAAACTCAAATCACTACTTGGAAAGAAAACAACACACACAACATCATGGAACGGCCACAGCAAGAGCTTTCAACAATTCCCCCAAGAGGGCACAACGCAACTGCACTTCGGCGTAGCAGCAGCAACGCAACAGCAAAGAAACAAGAAGATTGAGGACACCATCAAACACTACATCGTGTATTCCAACTTCAAGTCATACCATCACCTGCTGGCCAACTCAGGAGCATCTGCACATGTTTGCCCGAAGGACTACGCACCAGACCTACCACTACGACCTTGTGGAGAATCAGTTCCACAACTCTACACAATTACAAACAATAAGATTCCTGTCTATGGCGTCAAATATGTTCCCTACAGGCAGGACAACTTCAGGATCATGATACCCCACTACGTTTGAGATGTGAAGTATCCTATCCTCAGCGCATCAAGGCTACTTGATAGAGGATGTGGACTCGACTTCAATCCGCGACACTGCACCATCACACATGGACCACAACAAGCACACCTCATCAGACACTCAGGACTTTTCTACCTACGAGCAGAAAAGATCGACATCCCCACAGGATTTGACATCTACCCAATGACTACAGACAATGGAAAATCCATTGCTGTGATTCAACCTACAGAGAAAGCAAAAAACAACAAGAACAAATTGCACCACTCACACACACACAGACCAAGGAATGCGACAGATCCTTGGTGGAAACACTGACCACTGGAAACTTGATGGTGGCTACGCCATCAGAGTTCACAAACGACCGCGCAAAGCACTCTTCACACCACACAACAGCGGCTGCCCAACACCAGTAGGAGAACTAGATGATTGGCGACTAACCATCATCAACAGACAAGGGCAAGAGCCAGAACAACTACAAGAGAACCCAAACAACTTTCCAAGCAAGAACTACAAAGAAGACTAGAAGGTGACAACTGGACTGGAGAAACTAGATTCAGAAGAAAGATAACACCTACACGCAGAGCAACATCAAAGACCACACCAAC